GCTATCAGGATCAGCCGAAGTCATGATGATGGTAGTTATTTCATGCAGAAGGGACTTCTGTATAGCATCATCTTATTAAACGTAAACGACACATGTTCTCCTTCATATGTGGCTCCTAGCACCAAATCCTTTTAAGTTCCAGGTCCTTTTAATAAGATGATGCTATACAGCAGTCCCTTCTGCATGAAATAACTACCGTCATCATGACTTCTGCTGAGCCTGATTGCTAAACAGTCAGAATTGGGCTTGTTGACGGCTGTACTCATTCATTAAAGGAGTGCCAAGCAGGGTCACTGGACCCTCACCTGAGTATCTAGCCACTCTTCCCAGCCAACTAGTACAGCCTTGGAAGACAAAAGAAAAATGAGGAGGAACCCAATAGAGGGATGCTTTTGGAAGCCCTTGTCAAAAGAAACTCCAATGGACTCTCATACGAACATTTGAAAAGTGCCCTGTTCTGACTTTATTCTAGTTCCCTGTCTAGAACTTGCAATGCTAATTACTCTTGCCTTTACTTCTCCTTCACATCTCCTATTCATGATTCAAGGACTTTCTTTTCCCTTAGAGACAAGAGTTATGCAATTTGGGAGTCTTTTAGATAGACCCACTGAAGGGGTACTCCAATTGCCTCACCCTGTGTCTCTGTTCAGCATGGAAGAAGTCAGAGCAGTCTGCATCCCTATGCCCTATTGGCAATTTGGGTAACCCCTTCAGAGGATGGTGTGATAAGGAGGTAGGAATTGGCTAGGCAGTTAGGGTAAAAAGACCTCAAAGAAATGTAGCCAATTTCTTGGTAAAAGTCAAAATGTCCTTGGGCCTGTTAGCAACATATTCTGTTCCAAAGGCCAAAAATGTCAAAAGTATTTAGGAGCTTGTATCTAATCCTTAAAAGATTTTAGGGTTACCTCTTCAGAGGGGGGAATGTTAGAGGGGAGGGAGTGGGCATGGGTTTGATCAAAACACCTTATATACATGTATGAAATTCTTAATAAAATTTTTGTAAAAGTTAAAAGAAAGCTAACTGCTGGGCATGGTGGCACATGGATCTCTGTGAGTTTGAGGCTAGCCTGGTCTATATAGTGCATTCCAGGCCAGCTGGGGCTATAGAGAAAAAAAAGAAAGAAAGCTAACTGAGAGATCCAGGAAGCAGCCTTCCTCCATAGTTTCTGCTCCAGATTCCTGCCTTGAGTTCCTGCCCTGACTTCCTTCAGTGATGAACTCTTATCTGGAAGTGTAGGCTAAAATAAACCTTTTCTTCTTCCCAAAGTTGTTTTTGGTCAGAGTGTTTTATCACAGCAACAGACAGAAACCAGAACACATATAGTGCAGGGGATAGAACCCAGCACCTCACATACACCAGATAAGTGCTCCACCACTGAGCTATACCCCAGCTCCCGTGAATCTCAAACACAGGGACACTGGTGTCACTGCACTACAGTTAATGCCTGAAATAAACAGCCAGACTTTTGTTTTGGTTTTATCAGATAGGGTCTCCCTGTAGCCCCAGTTATCCTGGAACTCAGTCTCACAGAGATCTACCTGCCTCTGCTTCCTGAGTGCTAGGATTAAAGGTGCACATAGCCATACCCAGTTTGTGACTCTTAATGTTAGTATTTATTTATTTATTTATTTATTTATTTATTTATTTATTATTTGTCTTTTTTTGAGACAGGGTCTCCCTGTAGCTCCAGCTAGCCTGAACTCGCTATGTAGACCAGGCTGGCCTTGAACTCACAGAGATCCACCTGCCTCTGCCTCCCAGTGCTGGGATTAAAGGCATGTACCATGCCTGGCTTATTTATTTATTTTTGGTCTTTTTGAGACAGGGTCTCTCTGTAGCCCCAGTTGGCCTAGAACTCACTATGTAGACCAGGCTAGCCTTGAACTCACTGAGATCCACCTGCCTCTGCCTCTGGAGTGCTGGGATTAAAAGCATCAATGTTAGTTTTTAAGAGTTGGGCCCAAGATGGATGTGGTGGCGCACAGCCTTAATCCCAGCACTCAGAAAGCAGAGGCAGGCAGATCTCTGTGATTTCAGGGCCAGCCTGGTTTACATAGTGAATTCCAAGTCAGCTGGAGCTACAAGGAGACCCTGTCTCAAAAACAAAACAACAGTAAAAAAAAATAAAAAAGAAAAAAGAATTGGGCCTGAACTTGGAGGATACCCATTCCTCCAAATGTCTCTTGGAATTGCGTCTAGAACTGTGTCCTGGAGTTGGGCCTCATTCATACTTTTATTGAAAATCTTCCTCCAGCATCAGTTTTGGGGACTACCAACAGATCTACCCTTATCAGACCCTTGCTTTTTCATCCCTAGGCCTAAAACATCTCTACACACAACGTCAAGCACTCTTTCTCAATCTTCATTGTTTTCAATGAAGATGTCCCCACTGCCTTTCAGTGTTTTGATATGTTAATTCTCAAGCATACCCAGATTCATTCATTATCTTTGGGTGGAGCAGCAAATTGAGGTTCCCAGGTCACAAGAGCACATGGTTCAATGACTTTGCTGGATTTTGGGGGGATTGCAAGGTTAAAAAACATTAGTACAGATTCTGTCCGTTTTATAAGTCATTCCCATAAAGAACCTAGATGCTCTGGCCCTAACACAAAAATTTAATAGTATCCTGCATCCTGGTGAAGGGAATCAGAGGAGAACTTTCACCAAATATAAAAACAAAACTTAGGGCTAGAGAGATGGCTCAGCAGTTAAGAACACTGTTCTTGCAGAAGACCCAGGTTCAAATCCCAGCACCCACATGGCAGCTAACAACTGTCTGTAACTCCAGTTCCAGGGGATCTGACAGCCTCTTCTGTCCTCCACCACCGTTGGCACGACACAAGTGTACTTACTTACATGCGGGCAATGCATGCATACACATAATAAAAATATTAAATATTTTTAAAAAATAAAAACAAAACTTAGCTGGGCATGGGGGTGCACTCCTTTAATCCCAGCACTTGGGAAGCAGAGGCAGGCAGATCTCTGTGAGTTCAAGGCCAGTCTGGTCTACATAGCAAGTTCTAGGCCAGCTGGGGCTACAGAGAGACTCTATCTCAAAAAGATCAAAAAACAAACATGAAAAACTTACCTTGTGAAGTAATAATAAGCAAAGCAATTCCTGGAGAGAACTGCCCCCCCCCCCCATGACTTAAGAGGAAGCTTGGTAACTGAGCTGGGAGGGAGGCCCCAGGGAATGCAGGAAGCAGGAGTGTCAGTGTGGGAACTTGTAGGAGGGGGGGTCAGCTCTCCTCACTGGACTGGACACAGTAAGGACAGGGAAACATCTTCCTCTTCATCTTTGTCCCTTGAGGCAGCCCTTCTGGGTGTCTGGGACTGAGATGCCTTGCCAGGAGACCAATACAGATAGAGGGTTCCCCCCACTTCACATCCTGGAGAACCTTCTGGAATTCTATAGTCCCAAGGGATTCACTCTCTTGACCTTCCTAAGAGGCAGACCTCCTAGGGTGAATCCTCCTCCTTGCTCCCTCAACCCTGGGGTCAACAGGAAGATGGAGAAGGAGAGGGGCTGGGAAGGGGGAAGGAGGCCCCAGAAAAAGAGTGATGCAAATCTGTGTACCTGTCCCCACTCGCCCCTCACCCCAGCAACACTGTCTCCTTCAGGGAAACACAGTGACCTCCCCAGGGTCTCAAGGAGAGAATGAACCCAATCTTTACTATTTTACCTGCTGAGTTTGCAACTGACACTAACCATCTGCCTGGACTCTCTAGAGAACTTTCCTCTATGCCCTGTCTTCTCACCTTGAAAACCAAAGCAAAGACTCCAATAACCAAGAGATTGAAGAAGGAAGGGGAACAGGCCTGAGAAGATGCTCCTCAGTGGTCAAGACAAGGGTCAAACATTGAACTTGAAGGAAAGATCAACTTCACAGGCTTTGAAAGAACTAACAATGGTGTGACCTTGATTGGGTCATGTACCCTAATGGTCAGCTCCAGTGAATGAAAAGTATTTAAAATAGGTAACTGCACCCAGTTGTGATTCTCCAACATTTTTTTTTTTTTTTGGTCTTTTTGAGATGGTCTCTCTGTTGCCCCAGCTGTCCTGGAACTCACTATGTAGACCAGGCTGGCCTTGAACTCACAGAGATCCACCTGCCTCTGCCTCCTGAGTGCTAGGATTAAAGGCGTGCGCCACCACGCCCCACTTTCTGTTTTTTTGAGACAGGTTTTTACTCTTAGCCCAGCTGGTCTGGAACTCATTAAGTAGCCTGGACTGGCCTCAGACTCACAGCGATCCTCCTGCATCAGCCTCCCAAGTATAGGGATTACAGGCGTGTGTCCCTTCCCATATTGCCCCATTCTTAAAAGAAACTTTAAAGTTTGCTTTATGTGTATGAGTATTTTGCTTGTGTGTTTGTATGAGCACCACAAACATTTCTGGTGCCTTACCTAGACCAGAAGAGGGCGTCAGATCCCCTGGAACTTGACTTAACGATTGTTAGCTACCACGTGGGTGCTGGAAACCAAACCTAGGTCCTCCGCAAGAGCAGCAAGTGTTCTTAACGGCTGAACCATCTCTCCAGCCCCCCAATCCCCAAGCTCTCTTCTTAATAGCCCCACCCTCCCAAGGCTGAATATTTGCACCATTCACCTGGGGCAGGAAAGAGATCCCGCTAGCTTCAGGACACTGCGGTGTGGCAGGACCTTGTGAGGTGGTGGTGCAAAAGGCAAGGTTTGGTGGGGGGGGGGGTGGAATTTGGAGAATATTCTGGGCAGCTAGGATTAAGGTATCAGAGGGAGCTAGAAGCGCTGGTCCTGACTCCAGCATCCTACAGCTCTCCCAGAAGAAATCCTCCTAGGATTCTTGCACTGTTGGTGACTGTTACCCTGGAGAGAGCTCCCCTTCTTTCTACACGGTCCTTTCCGGACTCGGACGTTCTCCCCGCACCCACCCCTTACCCTGGCTCGGCTCTTCCTGCCACGAAAGCGCCCAAGCCACGTCCCGACTTCTGCGACGCTCAAACGGCTCGGAGAGACGCGGAGTTTACCGGTTGCCTAGCAACCCGGGGCGCGCGGGGGGGGGGGGGGGGGGGGGCCGGCAACCTGGAGCACGTGACCTGGGTCCACCCAGTCCCAAGCCCCAGCCAGTCTCTCCTCCCTTCCCTGGAGGAGGTGTGCAGAGGAGGAGGAAAGTTAACAGACTTAGTAAAACCCCAGTAGTGATAAATAAAGGCTTCTAGAGGCCGCAGAAATGGCTCAGCAGTTACAGCACTGGCTTGAGAACCAGGTTCGATTCCCAGCACCCACATGGCTGCTAACAGCTATCTGTAACTCCAGTTCCAGGGGACCCTGCGCCCTCCATGTTGGGCATTGCCAACACAGGTGCATTTACATACATGCAGGCAAAACATATGCATGAAATAAAAACAAATTTAAAATATAGAGGCTTCTAAAGGCTTTGACAAAACGCTTATCCAAGTCTACAAATACGCATCCGGCAATGTCCCCTGAAAACGCTAACAAAGTGCATGGGAGGTCCCCATCCTGGTTGGTTAAGCCAGCTCCGTTCTTTGGCTCTGATCTTGGCCGACCATCTGCACCCCTTGCTGCAGTTTACCTGTCCCTTCTGCTACCGTAACCCTGCACATCGTCCCTATGTCACCATGGAAATCCCTTGAGGGTCAGGCTGAATGTATGCATGGCTTAGTTGCCCGCTAGGCACATTGTACTGGTGAATTCATTGAATGAGTGGATGGATGCATGAATGAAATAATTAGCTATGTTTTTCACTTGAGCTTAAGACCAGTGACGTGAGAAAATGTAAGGAAGGGTTTACAAACCCACATCTAGGGACCGATGAGTGGATGGATGCATGAATTAAATAATTAGCTATGTTTTTCACTTGAGCTTAAGACAGTGACGTGAGAAAATGTAAGGAAGGGTTTACAAACCCACATCTAGGGACCTCAAGGTGGCTCAGAGGGTAAAAGCCCTCACCACACTGGCCTGATAATCAGAGTTTGAATCTGAGGACCCATGAAAACGTAGGAGAGAATGAACTTCGCAAAGTTGTCCTCTGAACCCCACACATGTGTTATGGCACATACACTCCCAACAGTAATAATAAATAAAAATTTATAAAACTATGTCTAGGGCCAGTGAGATGGCTCAGCAGGTGAAGGTTCTTGCCAGCACATCTGTTGGTCTGAGTTTAATATTTGGAATCCACATGGTGGAAGGAGAGAACTGACTTCCTCAAGGTGTCCTCTGACCTTCACATGTGTGCTCTGACACATGAGCACCCCTCCCCCAAATAAATAAATAAATAAATAAATAAATAAATAATATCATTTCAAAAAAGAAAGAAAGTCACATCTAAGATCCCATATAAAGTTAGGCATGGCACATACCTTTAATCCCAGGACTTGGGAAGCAAAACAGGGGGATCTCTGTGAGATTGAGGCCAGCCTGGTCTACATAGCCAGTTCCAGACCAGCTGTGGCTACAGGGAGACCCTGTCTCAAAAATCAAAAAAGTTGGACATGGTGATGCACACCTTTAATCCCAGCACTTGGGAGGCAGAGGTAGGTGGATCTCTGTGATGTCAAGGCCAGCCTGGTCTACATATTGAATCCTGGCCAGCTGGGGCTACAGAAAAAAAAAAAAAATCCCATATAGCTTCCCTAAGAGCATTTTGGAGCTGTGAACCGTGAGCATCAGATTGGTCATTTATCTAACACGTGGTCTTGGCAAGCTACTTATCTATTTTTTCCTTTCTTCCTTTCCTTCACTTCCTCTCTCCCCTCCTCCCTCCTTCCCTCCCCTCCTCCCTCCCCTCCTCCCTCCCTCCATCCCTTCCAGTACTAGGCTTGAACAGGGCCTTGCATTTGCTGGCCAGCATTCTTCTGCTGAGCTATATCCCCAGCCCCTACTTTTGCTTTTTCTGAGACTTAATTCTTCATCTTCAGTGTGGGCGGACAGTGGCAGTGCCTGTGGGATGCCGAGGAGCATATGTGATCAGCCTGCAGAGGCCAGCACCGTGCTTGCTGCTACAGGGAATGAGGTTAACCCGGGGTCAGGGATGTACACTGGAGACTGGGATGGAGCCAAGCAAGGAATGAGTCACCAGGACGTGGGATCTGGGCCTGGAATTGGGCCCTAGAGAATGCCCGAGAGTTGTAGGGGAAAGTGGGGAGCGCCTTCCAGAGTGGGGGTGGGGCATGACATGAGAAAGAGGAGGAAACTCTGGGATGGAGCAGGAGTGGCTGGGCCGGCTGGGGTTGCAATTTCCACACCTTGCCTACAGCTCCTCAAGGAGCTGGGGACTCCTTGAAGACTCCTGGGTAGAGAAGTGGGGGTGGGCAGAGGAAAGTAAACTTCAGTCACTTTTATTAAGGCAATGATTTTATCCGGGGTTGCCCACCTCACCCTCTCTCCGAAGGCAGTGAAACTGGAACCAACCAATTTACGTCTTGGCAAGTCCACCTCAGCTACCCTAGGAGGCTAACTTGAGGTTGTATAATTAGGAGCATTCAAAAGGATCTGTTCTTTTCTAAAATGCAGCTTCTCAGATTTCCACCCAATCACAGCATAATTGGCAACAGCAATTCTCTGCTGAGGGCAGCGGTTTTGCCCTGGACAAACCCCAGGCCAGTCCCTAGTCCTGTCCTGTCCTGTCCTGTCCTGTCCTCCCCTCCCCTCCCCTCCCCTCTCCTCTCCTCTCCTCTCCTTTCCTTTCCCTTCCCTTTTTGAGACAGAGACTCTTGTAGCCCTGGCTGGCCTTGGACACACTATATAGTCAAGGATGACCTTGAAATCTTGATCCTTCTGACTCCACCTCCCAAGTGCTGGGATTACAGTCAAGCACTACCATCCATTATCTGACTACACAGCCCAGGTAGACCTCAAACTTGCCATCCTCCAGCCTGCCTCAGCATCCTAAATACTGAGCTTACACATGTATACTACACTCAGCATCTTTCGTTTGGCTTTTAGTTGTTTTATTTTTGTTTGGAATTGAGTTTTAGGAGTTCTCCGTATATTATAGGCATTAAATCCATTACCAGATTATAAATATTATTTACCCCTTTCCCAAAAAGATTTATTTTTTTATTTATGTGTATGTGTGTGTATGCATGTGTGGGTGCCCATAGATGTAGTGGCTGGGACCCAAGTCTTAACTGCTGAGATCGCTCTCCATTTCCCCCTTTTTGTGGGTTGCTTTTTACTTTGTTGGTGGTGTGTTTTATTTGAGTGTGATGACTCATGCCTGTAATCTCAGCACTCTGGAGGCTGATGCAGGAGGATTGCCTTGAATTTGAGGCCAGCTTAAGCTATATAATAAGCTCCAGATCAGACTGAGCTATAGAATTCAACCCTGTCTCAAAAACAACAATAAAAAAGGTATAGTGGCCAGGCACAGTGGTACATATCTTTAATCCCAGCACTCCAGAGGCAGAGGCAGGTGGGCCTCTGTGAGACTGAGGCCAGCCTGGTCTACATACTGAGTTCCAGGCCAGCTGTAACAACAGGGACCCTGTCTCAAAAAGACCAAGAAGAAAAAGAAAAAAAAGAGGAAAGGTATAGTATAGTGCCGGGCATGACGGCATACCCTTTCATCCCAGGACTCAGCTCAACAGAGGAAAGGGGATCTCTGTGAATTTGAGGCCAGCCTGGTCTATATAGTTTGTTTTAGGCCAGCTAGGGCTGCATAGTGAGACCTTTTCTAAAAATAAAAAAGAGATAGTTTCTTTTGATGTTTAAAAGTTTTTAATTTTTGCCCAGTTTTGGTAGTGCAGATCTTTAGTCCCAGCACTCAGGAGGCAGAGGCAGGCAGATCTCTGTGAGTTCAAGGCCAGCCTGGTCTACATAGTGAGTTCCAGGACAGCTGGAGCTACAGGGAGACCCTGTCGCAAAAAGACCAAAAAAAAAAAAAAAAAGTAAATAGAAATAAAAATGAATAAAAATTTTTCACTAAGCCCAGTTTGCCTACTTAAATTTTTATTTATTTATATTTTATTTATTATTTTTATTTTATGTGTATGAGTATATTGTCTACATTTGTTTAAGTGTACCTGTGTCGTGCAATGCCCGTGGAGGTCAGAAGAAGGTATCAGATCCCCCCTGGAACTGGAGTTACGGACGGTTGTTAGCAGACATGTGGGTGCTGGGGATCAAACCCAGGACCTCTGCAAGATCAGTCAGTGCTGTTAACCACTGAGCCATCTCTCCAGCCCTATTTATTTTTATTTTATGTTTATGAGTTTATTTATTTTATGTTTGCCTGCATATATGTGCACCCATGTCACGCAATGCCTGCAGAAATCAGAAGAGGGCCTCAAATCCCCTGGAACTGGAGTTACAAATGGTTGTTAGCTGCCATGTGGATGGTAGGGACCAAACCTGGGTCCTCTGCAAGAGCAAAGAGCTCTTAACCGCTGAGCCATCGCTCCAGCCCAAATTTGTCTACCTTTTTGCTATTGTGCCTTTCATGTCATATCCGAGAAACCATTTTTTTAAATTTTTACAAAAACTTTATTGAGAATTTCATACATGCAGTTAAGGTGTTGATCAAATCCATGCCCACTCCCTCCCCTCCAACATTCCCCCCCTCTAAAGAGGTAGCCCTAAAATCTTTTAAGGATTAGATACAAGCTCCCAAATACTTTTGACATTTTTGGCCTTGGAACAGAGTCTGTTGCTAACAGGCCCAGGGACATTTTGACTTTTAGCCGAGAATCTGGCTACATTTCTTTGGGGTCTTCCAAGAAACCATTTTCAAGTCCAGTGTTGTACAACATTTCCCTATTTCTTTTTGTTATTTTGAGACAAAGTCAGTCTCAAACTCTAGGCTGGCCTTGAATTCCTGATCCTCCTGCCTCTACCTCCCAAGTGCTGAGATTATGGGTGAGTGCCACCACACCAGGCAGAGAATCTTTACACAGAGATTTGGTAGTCATTTTTCTTTCTTCTTTTGGTTCTTTTTGAGACGGGGTCTCTCTATAGCCACAGC